AATGGGGTGTTCCAGGGGGAAGTACAGAACTTTAGGATACCATACCGTATGAACTTATCCAGATAAGATTGGATGTTCTTCTTAGCCTTCTGCGGAATATGATATTGTCTCAGGCTTACTGGATAAACCCCAAGTTTTAGTTCGATTTTAATAGGTGGAATATTGCGGGCCAGTCCTGGTGGGTTGTTCTCTGCCCAAACTCCTGGTATGTTAAATAAGGATTCATCACTCCTCGGGTTTTGGCTAGTCAACACTGTATAAAGTCGCCACTCTTCTTCCTTTGGTACGGACAATGTCATAATACCTGAGGGTCCATTAAACTTTAAGGATGTTGTTCCATTTGGTAGGAACGTAATCTGCGCTTGTAATTTGGATAGCATATCACGTCCCAGCAATTGGACTGGACACTCAGGCATATAAAGGAATTGATGTTTTACTACGTGGCCTCCCAATGTACAGAGTCGACTTTTAAGAACCGGTTTTTCAGCACTTCTTCCAGTTGCTCCTATTACAGTAATAGTTCTTCCAGATGGAGGAGCAACTTGATTAGTCACCACCGAATGTTCAGCACCAGTGTCGATCATGAACGCACTCCTTTTTCCCCTATTGATACATCGACCATAGGCTCCGCTCGACCAAGGGGGATGGAGCCCGGTCGGTATCAATAGTCCTCCATGACCGTGTCAGCCAATCCCACAAAGTCCCTACCTTCTCTATCGCGGGACCTTTGCGCTGCTGGATAGTACCTATCTTCCCTTACACTTCCTCTGTTCCCATTACTCCCTCTATTACCATTACTCCCTCCGGGGCCTCCTCTACCTCTCGCTCTGCCTCTAAAGTTTCCATAACCTGCCCTGGGTAAGTCTCTCTCATACTGCTCTCTTTGCGGACACTCATTCCTCCAATGCCCTTCTTCCTTGCAGTACGCGCACTGATTCCTACTCAAAGGCTCCCTATTCCATCTACCATCGCCTCTATCTGAGCCCCGTCTATCTACGCCTGCGATCGCTACCGCTAACATATCTGCCTTTCTACGCATCTTGCGCTCTTCCTCTTTCTTACTTTCTGTTTCCCTATTCATATATACTTTGTTCGCTACCTCCATTAGTTGGGTGATAGACATACCTGCAAACCCTTCTAATTTCTGTAGCTTGCGCTTAATATCTCCGTAAGCTTGGCTGACAAAGGCGGAGTTTACCATTCGGGAATTATCAGCGTCTTCCGGATTAAAGGGGGTATACAAGCGGTATGCCTCCAGTAATCGGTCATAAAAGACACTGGGCGCTTCATCACTTTTCTGAATCACCTCAACTGTCTTCGACATGTTAATAGCTTTCTTCCCTCCGGCTTTCATGCCAGCAATTATAGCGTCTCTATAGGCTTTAAGTTGAGCCATATCTGCGCCATTTACATTCCAGTCAGGATCGGTGTTAGGGTAATGTGTTGCGGCCCATGCTGCCGGATTGGCTTGATTTAAAGCACGGGCTCTCTCCTCTAGCGCCTTAATGGCCGCTTGGTTAATCCTTGTCCTTTCCTCATTATTGAACAATGTCATTAATAACTGCTGGCAATCAGCCCATGTCGGGTTATGTGTCTGAACTATCGAGGTGAACAGATCGGTCATAGCTTGTGGTTTCTCAGTGTACGAGGAATTGTGGGTCTTCCAATTCAAGAGATCGGTAGTCGTGAACGGGACATATACGAAGACTGGGTCAGCATGTGCCATTTGACCTGCGGCATCGATATAGGCTGACCCAGGATTCAGACGAAGAGGCATCTGATAATGTTTTAATTGTTGGGTACCGGTCAGTTGTCGGGTTAGTATGGGGCTACGTGGAGGGGCGTCAGTTAAAGGTTCCGGTCGAGAGGTAATAGGGCATGAGGATGTGGGAACTTGATTTTGTGAAAAATTAGTGAATAGTATACTCTGAGCCGAGCTAGAAGAAGCTTGACCGGAAGTTTGAAGTGGCGCCAAATCAGGATATTCAGATCTAATGGGGGTTGGTTCTGGTTCAGGAAGGGGAGTTTTAATACGAGGGGGGGTGGATTCTGTACTGGAGGAGGAAGCGGAAGTGGATGGGGGCAATAGGGGAAGGGGTGCAGAACTTCCTGCATTCGCGTCACTTCCTCTTAAAGGGAAGTAAGGGGGCTGCAAAGGGATCTCGGACTCAGGGGGCGTGTCCAAAATGGGCCTAACACCGGTCCTAGTGGACAAATAAGTCCTGGCCACCATGAGGCGACATTGCTCCTCGTGGCATATCCGGATCCATTTTGGCGAGTCGTTTACGGCCTGCCTCCAACAATCAATGTATGGAAACTGTCCGTAAAGTTCAGGCCTACCTGACACAGCCACGTGTACACGCTGTACCAGGGTTGGATCCAAACTGCCACGCGGCGGCCATGCCGCAACCAAAGTAGGCCACTCCCTAGTGCACAAAGTGACCAAACGAACAGGAGACATTTTAACCCCAAAATCACATATTTTGAATCCCTTTTTAAAATTCTTTACCATACAACCTAAGGGATCCGAAATCGCTGACTCTGACGCGCCCATACTTATCAATGGAACGTCGTTGACAACGAATACTATGCACGCGTTCTTATTCAACAGTCACACCCGTTTCCTCTGGCAACAGCACCACGTGGTACAGTTACCAAGTGAAACGTACACAATAACACAATAATCACTCAGGGAATTCCCGTACACACACAGCTGTTACACCAGTCGCTAAATAATCAATATTATGCCCTTTGGCGAAACTATACAGTCACCCACGCTATAATTCTCTATATATGAATTACCCGTCTATAACACACCCCAGTAACATCGTCTTTTACTAGTATCGGTTACAGTACGGTTAGCATAGGTCAAAGCACAATTTAAGGTCACAATACAATTATTAGTGGTTATGGTGTTAAACATGCAATAGACGACAATGATTAGTACTTATATACAGTGTCAGTAAATATACAGGGTTATGGTACCGTGCACTATGATACAGCAACACACTATTAACACTCTCGCTAGACGGCTGAGCTCGCGCTATCTAACAAGATATACACTTTACTAACAATCTTTAACACATTTACAATCCCAACTAAACTATTGGCCAGTACCTTGAATGGACTACCTAAAACTATATACACCCGTTTTGGTTAGCCACACTGCCCAAGCACCACATATAGCGAACTAGAGGGCGGAATTTACAAAATTGCCCTTCTAGTCTATTTACTCTATCAAAAGTCTAGTGGGTTCCAAATTTACACGCCTTCCCACTTAGCCAAGATAGGTTGAGAGCTAGCGAACCGAATTTACACAGGCGCCGCTTAGTCTCCCGGTCCCTCCGACCTAGCGAACGTAATATACACCCTAGAACGCTAGTCTAGACAAGACACCGGTGTCCGGCTAGGGCTATTTACACAGGACCCCGCCTGACTAACCAGATCAAACGGTCTTACTAAAGAGCGTTCGATCGAGCGGTGCGCCTTCGCTCCTTCCCTCCGACAGAGGGGGCAGATTCCATACACAGATTTAAACCCCTTTTGGGCCTACCGCACAATCGGTATACCCCTAGTGGGTCTGCCGTCTAAAACAGCAGTTGTCTTACCTCCTCGTTCCTGAACCTGAGTTCACACTCATCGACGGGGACACCCCAGCACTTCTTACGTAGAGGCCGATGATCTCCTGGACAACAGACCAGTGGCGCCGAGACGAAGGGAGGTCCACGCAGAAGTTCAGGGGTGCAGCCGTAGAGAACGTGGGCAAAGATAGACCGTCTCACGCCTCTGCCTCTCAGCTACCGTTGAACGATGAGCTTCCCGGCCAATGCACCAAATGATACCGGAGAAACTGACGGAAGCAAAGCACAGAGGGATGGACACAGGTTTCTTCAGGAAGGAAGAGATTCTTTATTGGATCACCGATCGGGACTCAGAGGGACTAATGTCACCAAAAATACAGCAAGTTCTGAGCCCTGAACAATAGTGCAGGCTTCCTATATAGGCACATAACTCCTCCCATATTAAGCTCCACCCGCACATTCTCTTGACCAATCATTACAAATAAGAATTAACTTCCTGCTTGACCACATGGCTTGTCCAGCACAATGGAGGAGGGGAATACTACATCCTGTATTCTTGCACATGCTCCGTACACTACTGATCGTATCTTGCCTCGTGCAACCAACTGATCGATACGTCAGCATATGCACGTACACATGCCATGTGGTAATCTCGGCCTACTAAATTTATTTTTACCGAGATTCCACCACAAGATAAGGTGGGAGTGAATCAGAGCTGGAGGAGAGAGTAGAGTGCTGCCCTTTAGGAGAGGTCAAGGGACAGGTATCTGAGGTAGATGTTACTCTGGGAAGCCATAAGCTTTCCTAAAGAGATGGGTTTTGAGGCACTTCTTAAATGATTGAAGACTAGGGGAGAATCTGATGGCGGTAGGCAGCATTTCCATAGGAAGGGAGCCGCCCGCGAGAAGTCCTGCAAGCGCGGGTTGGTTGTACGGACAGGAGAAGGTCATGGGCAGAGCGGAGAGACCGAGAAGGGGCATACCTGCGGCTCAGTGAAAAGATATGAGGGGCCAGAATTGGTCAGTGCTTTATAGGTGTGGATTAGTACCTTGAGTTGACTCCTATAGGATACAGGAAGCCAATGTAAGGACTGACAGAGGGGAGAAGTGTGAGAGGAGCAACAGGAGAAGAAAATCAGTCTGGCAGCAGCATTCATTACAGACTGTAGCAGGGAAATACGACTTGTGGGAAGACCTATTAGGAGAGCGTTACAATAATCCATGCAAAAGATTACTAGAGCATGGACAAGCTCCTTAGTAGCATCTTGTGTAAGAGGTGGATGCGGGCCATGTTTTTAAGATGGAATTTACAAGTTTTGGTAACAGACTGGATGTGAGGCTCAAATGTGAGGCCAAAATAAAGTATAACGCCAAGACAGGGAAAGCAAAGGAGGATCATCAGTATTAGGAGGAGGAAAGACAAGGAGTTCAGTTTTAGAGAGATTGAATTTTAAAGAGTGGGAGGACATTCAGTCAGAGATGGAAGAAAGGCAAGCAGTGATACGTTGCAGGACGGCAGGGGAGAGGTCCGGGGAGGAGAGGTATATTTGAGTGTCATCAGTGTATTGGTGGTATTGGAATCCAAATGAGGTTATAAGTTTGCCAAGAAAAGCAGTATAAAGCTGCGATTAGGTAATTGGTGACTTTAATAAGAGCAGTCTCAGTATAATGGAGGGGGCGGAAGAAAGACTGAAGAGGATCAAGGAGAGAGTTGGAATTGAGAAAACAAGTCAGATGGGTAAAGACCAGTCTTTCCGGAAGCTTTGAGGAAAAAGGGAGCAGGGATATGGGACAATAGTTAGAAGGGGAACACCAGAAGAGAGAGAGCAGTTGAAGATGTGTGTTAAGGAAGGCACAAAACAAGAGGAGAGAGATCTAAAAAGGTTAGACGGGACAGGATCAAGTGGGCAAGTGGTGGGGCGAGAGGAAAGGAGAAGCACAGCCATCTCTTGTTCAGTAGCCTGGGAAAACATCTGAAGGTTAGGAAAGGCATGATCCCGGTGTGGTTGAGAAATAGAGGGGCAAGAGTGTGAGAATTCTTTCCTTAGTTGTTCAATCTTGTCGATAAAGTTGCTAGCAAAGCTATAGCCTGTAAGGTTAGTTTGGGGGATGGCAACAGCAGGGCAAAATAGGGAGTTAAAGGTATTAAAAAGCTCTGCTTTTATTCTTCAATGGTGGTTTACTACTTCTTTAATAAACTCTTGAATGGATAATGTTGCTTGAATACATTTAAGTGCTTGCATACTTAAAATTTGGACTTTCGTTATAGACACATTTTATTCCTCTGCAGCCTCCAGCATAGGAGTCGAGAATCCCATGGCTGCCAAGAGCTGGTAAGTATGGTAACTAAATATCAAGGCTCTAAGCAGAGGTCTTCCAAATAAATGCTTGCTTTAGCTGCACAACCATTTCATTTTATTTACTGTAAATGTTCTTTTCTTTCAATAAAATAAACAATTTGTCAGTTTTTTTTCTTTTTTTCTTAGTTGATCCCATAAACGGGTAGGCTTTGAACATTTCTGTGCATCTTGGGGGCGGGGCCAAGCACCATTTTAGCCAATCAGCATCTCCTCATAGAGATGCATTGAATCAATGCATCTCTATGAGGAAAATTTAGCGTCCCCATGCAGAGCGTGAAGATGCTGAATGGCAGTGCTGCCTACTGTGCAGCACTGAGCCAGGAAGCACCTCCAGTGGTTATGAGGAGTGGCCACTTGGAGGTGTCCTTAGGGGCACTATAAACACTGTCTTTTCTCTGATTTATAATCACCAGAACAACTACATTACGCTGTAGTTGTTCTGGTAACTATAGTGTTCCATTAAGGTAAGAATTTTTGTTGCTTTGTTTTAAACACCTCCATTTCATATAACCACACCCATCACTTGTGAAGTTATATAAATATAAAACAATGCTATTTGTGCCTCCAAGTAAGAGATATCTATGATCACAGGTCTATTGGACAATTATTTCCTGTTGTTTTCCAAACTATCCTGTTCGATTAAGTGATAAGAGAAGTTGAATTAAGTGAATTGCAAGTGCAGTGGTCTTGTTCACTAAATCTTAAATTTCCGTGAAAAGGTTCATCATAGCTGGCAATTCACTAATGCAATGCTAGACTGGGGTGCTTCTTCACTAAATAGAGAATTGCAAAAGGTCCTGATATTTAATAATTCTCAAAGTCACAGCTGGGCTATTTTATTTTGAGTTTTATTTGATAGAGCTAAGGGCTATGACTGATTTAAAAAAAATAAATAAGAATTCATTACTCCTGTTATTTTCTTTGTCATAGGTGACAAACACCAGCGACCCTGTTAGATCAGAGGGAAATACGCTATACCCATGTACATATAAAAGCTGCAGTGGAAAGGAATTGGTTCAGGTTTTATGTCCTTATTGTGAAAAGCATTTCTGCTTGGGGTATGTTCAGATAATAACATAACAATAATAATATGATCTGATTTATGTGACAATTCTTTGTTTGGTTTAACACATTCATTGCTTTACAGACACCGTCACCAGTCAGATCATGAATGTAAGAAACTCGAAATCCCTAAACCTCGGATGTGTGCGACCCAGCAGCTTGTCAAAGAAATAGTAGGTTTGTAGTTTTCCTATCAAGCATTTCATTTTGTTTAAGCGTGGATGGAGTAATGTGTGGAGGATAGAATACAAATCTGTACTTTTGGGCAATTTTACTAAATACTGAGTTGCAGTGTATTGAAAACCAACATACTATAATGCAAAAATAGCAACATTGGAATAACATGGCCATCTCAGCTATTCTTTCATCATTATTATTTTAATCTAAATTTTCAAAATCCAGTTTCAAATTTATAGTAAATTGTAGTTCACTGTTTAGTGAATAGCCTTGCTGGTCCTAAAAAATCTGTCTTATAGATGATGAACCCGATTATGTTAAAATGCATCTCACACATAACTTGTTCACTTTTTAGCAGAATGCCCTTAACTTGTCCAAGCCAAATTTCTAGAATTTTTGTATATGAGAAGCTATCTCACCATAGTTTTCTCTTTTAGCATAAGGCTATCCTAGCTATAAGATGAGGCCAGGGACTAATGAAAGTATTTAGAAAATTGGGCAGACTAGATGGGCCGAATGGTTCTTATCTGCTGTCACTTTCTAGGTTTCTAATTCCTCATGGTTTAAATATTCTAATTAACATAACTTAAAGACTGCACCGAACGAGAAGCAGTGCACACAACCATCCTTTTTCTACTGTGACTTGATCAGTAGCCATTTAAAAGTGACTTGTACTTTTATACCAGAAATTGCAACACATTGAGCAAATGGCCCTTTTTAAGGTTAAGAATAATGGCACAGGGGACATTAGGTACATGGTGGATGGCAAAGTTCCAATACAAAGATGCAGATGGGTGTCCTAGAAGTATAAAAATCATGTTTAAAATGGATAAATAAACTGCATCCTACCAAAATGAAAAACTCAACCTTAAAGGAACACTATAGAGTTGGTAATACAGATGTATATTCCTAATGCTCTTATGACCTGGTGGCTGTTTAGGTGACCAGCCCCCACATATAGGGAGAGGAAAGAAAAAGGTATTTCACTTACCTTTTCTCCTTCACAGAGCTGTTCTCCCCGCCTCCTTGGCTGAAATTAATTTATCTCATCCAACCCAATGCTTTCCCATTAGGCGTCTATTGCACATTCACAGAGACCATCTGATGAAAATTGCATCGTTTTACTATGCTAATTCATCGCAAGTGCCTATAGTGGAGGCATTTGAAACCTGTAATGAAAATATTGCTGTTCTGTAGAATGTTTTCAGCTAGAGGATTGAAACAGAGGTACATAACACCCAGACAACTTAATTGAGATGAAGTGGTCTGGATGTCTGTAGTGTCCCTTTTATGCTCTTCAGGTTGAATTTTGGACATCATTTGAATTCCTCCTAATTGTACTTTTTTTTTTTTTAGATTCCAAAAAGTCAGCTGCACCAAAAAATGTGCGAAAAGGAGCAAAGAATAGCGAGACAGCAGCAAAGGTAGCATTAATGAAACTAAAACTGCACGCTGTAGGCGACAAATCTCTGCCACAGGTAAAACTAATTTCAGATACAGTTAGATCAACATTCCTTCTGTTGTGGATTACTGGTCTCAAGAAACTCTGCCATCCAACATGTTGGCTGCTAATCTACATGTAGATTTCTGACTGTATATTTTGTTTCCCACCAGACTGAAAGAGTCTATTTCCAAGTTTTCTTGCCAAAGGGTATGAAAGAAAAAAGCAAACCCATGTTCTTCTGTAAGAAATGGAGCATCGGAAAAATAGTAGATTATGCCGCTTCTCTAGCAAGTCTGAAAAATGACAACAATAAAGCCGCAGCAAAAGTATGTTTTAATTACTGCTCCTTTAACTGATTTACCCATTTACAATAATCTGCACCGACCCATGCAACAAGTTACTCTGTTGAATTGCTACACTAATAATCTGAGCCAGGACTCTTCAATTGTTAGTCCTGTGTAGTTGTCTTGCTGTAAAGTCTTAACGTATGCTAAGCTCTTTATTGCATCACCAAAGGAGAGTTAGTGATGTCATTGGATGCTGTCAAAATTCTACTTGGAGAATCATCACAGCTACTTTCCACTTGACTCACACTGCGGATGCTTACTATTATTACATGAGCTTATTGTTCTTTCAAATTGTAATCTGGAGAATTCCTGTAGTTTGTAACTGCGACCTGTTTCTTCCCTTACAGAAACTGAGAGTGTGCCACGCGGAGACAGGACAGATCTTGCCTTTGGATAACACATTGGAAACATGGCTTTCTAGCACAGAAGGTCCTTTATACAATGGTGGCAATATCATTCTAGAATATGTGGACAATGAGATCTCTGTGTTGGAAGATGTTAATTTATATTTAATATGAAACTTTTAGAGACTGAATTTGAAATGGAAAAAACTCAAACATGCTAAAAATATGAAATAAATATTTAAGTACTTTTTACATAGTTGTTTGTTTAATTGGTGCTCATGTGTTCTGATACTTAAACCCAGTCTGTTAGTTGTGTGAAACAAATCGAAGAATCGAGAGACAGGACATATTATTGTAGTACTATCAAATGGAAATTAACAATGTAGTTATTGAATTGACAAGAACTACTCTGCTGATATTCTACTAGTGTTTTGTCTGGATCTGTGGTAAAATGAGAACTAAAAAAAATGATGTTCCTTAAATGGGGCCCTATATCTCATGCTTCTATGAGTCTATTTACCCTGTCCCCTGTTTTTGTTTGTGAAGAAGTTTGACAAAAACCAGGATTGTCCCCGGCTACACTCCCTTTTTGCTCACTGGCAACGCAAGAACTACATTTCCATGTTACCAAATGATAATCTCTCTAATAGAAAGATAGAATGTGACGGCAGATAAGAACCAGTCTTCGGCCCATCTAGTTTGCCCAATTCTCTAAATACTTTCATTAGTCCCTGGCCTTATCTTATAGTTAGGATAGCCTTATGCCTATCCCACGCATGCTTAAACGCCTTTACTGTGTTAACCTCTACCACTTCAGCTGGAAGGCTATTCCATGCATCCACTACCCTCTCAGTAAAGTAATACTTCCTGATATTATTTTTAAACCTTTGTCCCTCTTTGTCCCTCTAATTTAAGACTATGTCCTCTTGTTGTGGTAGTTTTTCTTCTTTTAAATATAGTCTCCTCCTTTACTGTGTTGATTCCCTTTATGTATTTAAATGTTACTATCATATCTGTCTCGTCTTTCCTCCAAGCTAATCGTGGAGGACAGTGAAAGGCTGAGTTTTTGATTTCCATAGCTGTGATTTTGGCTGCTTGCATTGCTTTTATTTTTTACTTTCTAAAATAACTCTTATGTAAATTCTTTTGTCACCACAAGAGGGAGTCTAGATTATTTTTAAACTTGTAAAGAATGTGATGGTTGCAATTTAATTATATCTAGGCTTATTTTAAAATTATATGTTATGACATAGAGACCAGTGCAGGTGAATAAACATAATTTTATTAAAGGACACGGAGGCTCATATTATGCTTATCTCTTTCTTTATTATACCTCAGCAGCAAAGAGAAGGTATAAACATTCATAGAAAAAAAGTTTAACAGGTTCTCCAAGGGTTAACCCAACCCTTAACCAATAGGAACAGTCCCTCTATCTATAACTATTCATGTGACCTTTCCTCTTCCTCTTTCTTTGCTGCTGCCTCAGCTAAGTACCATCTATTTTTAGCTCTCCTCAGAGCACCCTCTTTGAATTAGTATTGTATTGTATTGTTTTATTTTATGTGTCTTTAAGATTTTATGTCCTAGGTATTTGTGTGGGTTATTTAGCCGGTTCTTCGAGCCGGCGCCTGTCTGCCTTAGGGCTGATAGACGTTTTCACTGGGGTTCCCTCCCCCCCCCCTGCGGCGGTTACCTCCCTCCCACACCTTACCGGGTAGTTTATTACCCGTTCTTCGTTGCCCTCTGAGAGCCGCGGCGGCCGTTTCGCGGCGCGAGCGCTCTGAGTTCAGAGCCCGCTCGCGCATGCGCAATAACGGCCGCTCGGCACTGCGGCCATTTCCAGTAAGCCGGCCGTGCTTTGCCGCGCTTTTTTCCGTGCCCGCCCTGTAACAGAGGGCGGGCGTTCTCTGATTGGCTAGCTGCATTGGCTGGCAGCTTACCAGTGCTCCCTGGCGGCCATTCCGGAGGGAACACTTGGTAAGCTGACAGCCTTTGTTTGTGCCTGCATCCTCCCACTTACACTGTTCTCAGTGCTCTCTGCCCACAGTTGGTTTTCTGTTAATCCCTGCACAGGGTCACTAGGGGCATTTTTTGCTCTCACATTGGTGCCAGTCTGGTACAAATTTCATTGTGTCACTGGTATACCCTGCCTTTTAAGTGTCACTGCTCCCACACCCCAGGTGTCTTTGGTTACAACCTATCTGTCATGCAACACCTTAGGGACCACGGGGTTGCCACCCCCACTGATATCAATAAGGACACCATTCATCACGTGCCACAGATAACACGTCCATGCTCGCCACTGCGAGAAGACGTGGCATCCATGGATCAGTTAAACTCGGAGGAGTTTCACTCACTCTTGGATGCAACCATGACCAAGTCGGTCACCCAAGCTATAGTCACGGCTATGGGGGCGATGTCTGAGACCCTGACACAGTCCATTAGTAATGCCATACTGGCGTCTAACAGCCATCCCGGCGGACCCCGCTCCATGGCCCAGCCTGACAATCCTGTGCCCCTCGGCGGCCGTAAGGCTACGCAGAAGACCCACCATATGGGCAAAAACACCTCCAAAAACAGCACGACGGACAGGATACGCCCTGTCACTACTGAGGACGTGGGGCCCCCACGCAAAAGAGCCACCCACCGGGCAAAAGCGGTGAGGACGTGGAAATGGGCAAAAGCCCAAACAGAGACATCCGACTCTGGTTCGGACATAGAGGAGGTAATGAGTGAGTCAGAGGAACTCGGCTCGTTGGAATCGGGGAACTCTTCCCCTGAGCGCAGCCTGGCAGTCATACCAGCTAAGGGAAAAGTGCACGCGGATGATTCCATCATCCTAGACCCCCAGGGCGAGCCCCTATTCAACCCTGACGACCTGCAGCACCCCAGGTCCACAGACTGGTTCCCAGCTGACCATGTGGCCCAGTATATTGCGGCCAGAATAAGGAAGCCCCTGGATAAAACGACCAGGAATAAGTTAAGGGCAGAGTGCCCACGCCCGACGGTCCCTGATATGGCGTGCGCCACGCCAGAGGTGGACCCCAAGATTGCCCAGTTCCTGGGTAAGGCTGGCTGGAAAGCCAAAAAAGGGCTAGACTACTCCCTGCGCCACTGCCAGGATAAGGTGCTCGACTCCTTGGGCCCTAGCGCAAAGATCTTCGACTTGGTCGAAGAGACAATCTCAGGTGGCGCACCACTAGACCCCTTAGTGATCCGAGAGTGGGCACAACGCTCTATCTGCCTCATCGGCAACTCAAATGCCGCACTTAGTACCGAGAGACGGAAGGCAATTCTCATGAAAATAGACCCCAAGCTGGTCAACATGGCCATAACCGAGCCTGGACCCCAGGCAAAAGGCCTCCTGTTCGGAGACAATTTTGTGAAGGAGCTGGGCACCTACGTGAGCACATTTACAGCCCTGGATAAGGCACAAACAAACCTAAAACGGGTGTTCTCCCCGAAGGTTTTTGGAGGGGCTGGCAGGTACAGGGGCCGCCTGTCCAGCCGCCCATCACGGAGCTCCCACCGGGGCTACCGGGGCCCCACGACACCAAGAGTCCCACAGACGGAGACCAGAACCCCCGCACCTTTCTTCCCGGTCAGGGGCAGATCATGGCAGCCCAGAGGTCACAGGGGTGCCACATACGGCCGACGACCTTATGGTAAGTGCCTTTCCCTTTTCCCTCTCTCATACCTCACACATAGGGGGCAGACTTTCCAAATTTATCGGGGCATGGCACAGACTCACGTCCGATGCCTGGATTCTCGACACAGTAGCGGGGTACCATATAGAATTCGTCACACACCCAATCCAATCCTCAATGCCACGGTGGATGGTGTTCGCACCTCAGGACAGGGAACTGGTGTCGAAAGAAATCATAGCACTGGCGGAGAAAGGTGCGATCTATCAGGTCGCGCCCCACTCCCCAGGGTTCGTGAGCAATCTGTTCCTGGTCCCCAAGAAAGGCGGTGGGGTAAGACCAGTGATCAACCTACGCCCACTCAATACATTTGTACGATATCATCACTTCAAAATGGAAGGGATTCATTGCCTGCGAGATCTGCTCAGGCTGGGGGATTGGATGGTCAAATTAGACCTCCAAGATGCATATCTCACCATCCCCATTGCAAAGGAGTGTCAGCACCTCCTACAATTCAGTTGGGACTCCCAGACATGGAGGTTTCAGTGCCTTCCGTTTGGCCTATCGTCAGCACCATGGTGCTTTACGAAACTGCTGAAGCCAGTGGTTGCGTTGCTGCGCAGCAGGGGCGTCCGCATGATAATATATCTGGACGATATGCTGATCATGGCCCAAGACACCCTGCTGCTACAACAACACTTAGATTGGACGGTAACTTTACTACAGAACCTGGGATTCCTAATTAATTGGGAGAAGTTGGTACTAACCCCCTCCCAGTCCTTAGAATTCCTAGGGTTCGAAATAGGGGCGGTCTTAGGAACCCTAAGCCTGCCACCCACAAAGATGAAAATCATCAAGAAGGAGATCCGCAGAACATTGGCTCGACCAACACTTACGGTCAGGCAACTAGCCAGGATAATTGGACTCCTTTCCGCTTCCATACAAGCGATCTTCCCGGGGCCTCTACACTACAGGGCCCTACAGCGACTAAAAGCCGCACAACTGCGCTCAGGACACTCCTACTCAGACTCCGTGCCACTCGATAACACAGCCAAGGAGGAGCTCAGGTGGTGGCTGCAGCACATGGAAGCGTGGAACGGCAGAGCGATCTTCAGCAACAACCCAGATTGCGTAATAGAATCAGATGCCAGCACACGGGGCTGGGGAGCGCGCTGTGGACATACCTCCACGGGCGGAAAATGGTCCCAAGCAGAAAGGACACTACATATCAACTGCCTGGAATTAATGGCGGGCTCGTTCGCACTGAAGAGCCTCCTGGGTCCCGCAACACATTGCTCCATCATCCTGAGAATGGACAACGTCTCAGCCGTCCAGTACATCAACCGCCTCGGTGGCACCAAGTCCAAAATTTTAGCAGACTTAGCCACAGAATTTTGGCAGTTTTGCTTAGAACGCAGCATCACAGTACGAGCCGAATACATCCCGGGACTTTCGAACACCGTAGCAGATTGGAACTCCAGACATCTGCGGGATACCAGCGATTGGCGCCTGAACCGAGAGACGTTCCTACGATTGCACACTCTATGGGGTCCGATGTATATAGACCTGTTTGCGTCACGGTTGAATACACAACTCCCGGAATTCTTCAGCTGGAGACCGGACCCAGACGTGTTGGCTACGGACGCATTCCTACAACCATGGCCGAACAAACGATTATACGCATTCCCACCGTTCGCCCTACTGGCACGAACGCTAGTGCACCTCGACCGCACACGGACGTCCCTAGTCCTCATAGCTCCATTCTGGACTGCACAGCCTTGGTTCCCTTTACTCATGGAAATGTCCATAGATCTCCCCAGAATGCTGCCCGAGGACCCACATCTCCTCTCAGACCCAGATGGGAACCCTCACCCTCTGATGGCGCAGGGACAACTCAGGTTGTTAGCGTGGCTCCGTTCCGGGGTCCCTGGGTCGTGCCAAACATTCCGCAAACAACTCTCGAACTCCTGGCGGGAGCCTGGGCTCCGGGAACACGACGATCCTACTCTAAAGCTTGGAACATCTGGAGTGGTTGGTGCATGGAACAACACGTGGATCCCGTATGTGCCCCTGTAAACCACCTGTTGTGTTTCATTACACACCTATTCGACCAAGGACTGGCATACCGGACCATCAATGTATACAGATCAGCGATCTCGGCGGGACACAAGGGTATAGAAGGATTTCCAGCAGGCAAGCATCTGTTGGTATGCAAGCTCTTACGCGGTATTCGATTGGCAAGACCACCGCGACCCCGATATAGTACAGTATGGGACGTGAATGTGGTCTTAAATCTTTTGGAACTATGGCCACAGAACTCTGACCTCACATTGAAACAACTGTCAGCGTAACTGGCCATGCTCTTATGCCTAATATCCTGCAAAAGAGTCTCAGATGTCCGGGCATTAGACGTCGACGCACGCACGTTCACTCCAACGGGAGTTACTTTCAACATTTCCAGGCGGACAAAATCAGCGACAACATCAGTGTCATATCCAGCATTCCCGCACAACAAAAACCTGTGCCCGATTGCCTGCCTCAAGGAATACGAAACACGGACACAGGCATTTCGAAACTCTGGACAACATGAACTATTTCTGGCCGTCAATTCACCACACCAGCCAGTATCTTCCGTAACATTAGCCCGATGGGTGAAATGGATAATGGCCTCTGCAAACATAGATACTTCGGTATACGGGGCACACTCCACTAGAGGAGCTATGGCATCTAAAGTATTCAACTTGGGATGCAGACTGGAAGATTTGTTACGGACGGCAGATTGGTCTCATGAATCCACCTTTAAGGAATATTATTTTCACCCTACAGACCACGTAGCATCAAGAGTCATTGCACAGCTTTGAACTAGCATAATATGAGCCTCCGTGTCCTTTAATAAAATTACCAGATTTTACTAATTACATGACGTAAAGTCATGATTTTATAAAGGACACGGAGGCGAATATTGGCCCACCCAGTAAGTATATCAGGCATATATCAGCGAAAGTAGAGTGACATGCCCACCCAATAAACAATAAAATAAGGGTCATTGTGGTGTCTTATTTCGTCTCGATTTAATTCGTTTTTCTTTAAGACAACTGTACTAGTGAGTCTGTAGTACATCAGGCATATGCTAAGATTTTGTCACTAACGTGTGGCAAACAGTTCCTCAGACCACATTTTACCATATTTTTCTCTATCCCATTACAGCTTAATTCGCCATACGCGACACCCTGGATGACCAGTTGTCACCGCAGTTTACGCGTACAAGTTATTACAAGTTCGGGATATGGGACAGTTCGACACAACGGATGAAGTGTTCCAGTGTCTCCTCAAGTTATAATGATACAGCTTCGGCATGACCAAAGAAAGAGGAAGAGGAAAGGTCACATGAATAGTTATAGATAGAGGGACTGTTCCTATTGGTTAAGGGTTGGGTTAACCCTTGGAGAACCTGTTAAACTTTTTTTCTATGAATGTTTATACCTTCTCTTTGCTGCTGAGGTATAATAAAGAAAGAGATAAGCATAATATTCGCCTCCGTGTCCTTTATAAAATCATGACTTTACGTCATGTAATTAGTAAAATCTGGTAATTAAAAACCAATAATAATTTTATATACCACTAAATTGCTCTTAACTTGTACAGTAAGATCTTAGTAAAATCCAACAGATCATATGCACTGCAAAACCCTGATGTATAATTCTACTAACCTTGTCACAGAATGCAATTAAGTTGGTTTGACATGGTTGGTTTTTCATAAAATCATATTCATTATTACTAATGGCACAGTTGTACACAATGATTTCCTGTATATCAAGCATGTCAAACTCAAAGTCTGGATCAGGCCACATAAACATGGCTTAAGTTTATGTGGGCCGCAAAAAATAAAAAAATACTGTAAATTTTCATAGAAACGTAGGTTTATTTTAAAAAGTACAGTATAACCCCCCAGCATTCCCCTCTAAATCCCAGCCACCCCACCACCCTGTGACAAATCTGATCATCCCACTGAGACACACATACTCACTGACAGACAGACACACACATACTCACAGAAAGACACACATATTCACAGACAGACACACACATACTCACAGACACACTCACTGACAGACACACATACTTGCTGACAGACACACACACACTCCCTGACAGACACACACACACACACTCACAGAGACACACACACATACTCACTGACAGACAGACACACACACATACTCACCAAAAGACACACACACACATTCTTGCACACATTATTTTCTTTATTGCTCCTTACCTTTTGGAGCTGATGTGGGGCATCTCCCTGGGGTCCTTCCTGCTCCTCACTGCTCTCTCGCACAGTTTAGTGATGTCGGGTGCCGGAATACAACATCATATTCCGACGCCTGGCTTCACTTCAGATGGCGCACGCGAGGGAGCTGTGAGGAGCAGGTACAATGAGTTCCCTCGCTGGCCGCGTAAGTTTTAGCAGAGTAAGCACCTGCAATATGGGGGAAGCAGGTGCCTACTCTGCTATAACACCAGCATTTACTCGTGGCTACAAGTTTGACATGCTTGCTGTATATGATCCCTTAATAACCCTTTAAACTATTTCCCAACCACAAATGTTAAGCTAGCAGCACTGTAAATTTGATCCTTCCTTAAGTATGGACATTACATCTGCATTTGTATTCGATTCTTCTGTATAATTCCTGAAAATCTGTTGTGAAGAAATTTGTGACTTTGCAAAGCCATTCGTTATTTTTATTAGTTCGGTAGATGAAACTACCGAACACCGACCACCCCCCTGGCTCATTATCTACAATGGCGGCCATCTTCTTTGCATGAAAGGAGGCAGCGCGACTTGGACTTAATATGTTGGTCACACAGATCAGGGCTATCAGGGGATATGTAATTTATGGGGATACCATTTGTTTTAGGGTACGTTCCACATTTTGGGGAAATATATATTCCTTACTAACACACACACACTGTAAACTGGGTACCTCCGCCAAGGACCACTTCCTAGCTGGAACAAACCGCAACACTTCTGCCCACAGTCGCCTTGACTTGCCTGGGGTCCTGGAACTGCTCCCTCCTGGAGCCGATTGGGGAACTTTCTCTATCCACCCCCAGGCACTGGAGGACACTCAGTCCTGGGAGCTCTAGGACTTTCCTCGTTGAATCCTCCACATTGGAACAGTGATCAGTGATTAGCCCTTTCCCCTCCCAGTAACCAGACGAGACATAGTTCTGGGAGTAGAAGCTGGGATGTTTTAATCTGGTTAGATGGCCTGCTTTTATACATTTATGAACACAGACAAGCACGCCCATAACACTCCCACACAAAACAGGATAATCCCTCCCCTATGCCTGGGAGATAATTGAGTCAGGAACTGTACAAAACTCAATTATCTCCTGGCATAAAAAACACACATTTCACAGACACTCCAAAAGTACCTGATAGCCCTGATCTGGGTGACCAACATATCCAAAAATCACCCAGATCGGTTCAGTGGTTCGGGATTTTCATGAAAGTCATAGCTGGACCGACCACACACGAGGCTCCTGCCCAAAATAGTTCCAGGGTAAAAGTGGTTGCGGTCGATCAAGTTCGGTAGTTTAAAAGAGAACAAACTACCGAACAGAATCCATTGTCATACCATGGAGCTTGTTCCCTTGATCCAGACGAACGATCCCACCGAACAGTGTTCTACTAAGTTATATAAACCCAAACGCAGGCGATGATGTCCAGTGGTGTTCGGGAGTTTGAGTGATTGACTGATGCCCAAACACCGCTGCCTGCATTCATGGGAACAAAATGGCCGTCACCTAGTGGTGGTTCCTACGAAATGCAGCCACCCAACCGAACAATTAGAACACTGCAGTGGAACTTGCTACAAAGTCTAAATTGGGCTTAAGAAGCTGTGTGTGTGTCTGTCATGGTGTGTGTGTCTGTCTGTCTGTGTCATGGTGTGTGTGTGTCTGTCTGTGTCATGGTGTATGTGTCTGTGTCATGGTCTGCCTGTGTCATGGTGTGTGTCTGTCATGGTGTGTGTGTGTCATGGTGTGTGTGTGTGTCAAGGTGTGTGTCTGTCATGGTATGCATGTGTGTGTCTGTCAAGGTATGTGTGTGTGTGTGTGTCTGTCATGGTATGTGTGTGACTGTCAAGATGTGTGTGTCTGTCATGGTATGTGTGTGTCTGTCAAGTAGGCATGTGCATGGGGAAAATATTTGGCTCGGTTCGGCATTCCGAAATTCGGGACTTCGTCATTTCGGGACTTCGGCAATTCGGCACTTTGACACTTCGGAACTTGAACACTTCGGCACTTCGTCACTTTGCAACTTCGGAACTTAGACACTGAGCGGTATTGTTCTCCCCACTGGCCCCCACCCCTGAGCGGTGGGTGGGGGTCCTAAACAAGAATAATGGGGGGGGACCTAATGTCCTCCCCCCTGAGCGGCGGATGGGGGCCCTAAATACAAATTGTGGGGGACCTATTGTCCTCCCCCCTGTCCCCCACCCCTGAATGGTGGATGGGGGTCCTAAACAAAAATAAGGGGGGACCTAATGTCCTCCCCTCTGGCCCCCACCTCCGAACGGTGGGTGGGGGCCCTAAACAGGAATAAGGGGGGGGGACCTAATGTCCTCCCCCTGCCCCCACCCATGAGCCCCCCAAACCCCTAGTCATCCCCTCCCCCCAAAAAAATAACCCCTACCTACCTCCCTCAAAATAATGAGGGGGGACCTTTAACTAAGTACCTGTAAAAATAAAAATTAACTTACCATTTGATGTTTTCTTTCTTCTAAAATCTTCTTTTTTCAGCCCCAAAAAGGGACAAATAAAAATCCATAATAACCGACGCAATAAAAAATAAAAAAGACGAGCGCCCCAAAAAATTATCCATCTTCACCCGGCGAGGGATCCGCGCAGACTGAACTCTGCAGGGTGGGGGAAGGCTTATAAAGCCTTGCCCCGCCCTGCAATTAGGCTCAGAGCACTCTGATTGGTGGGTTTAAGCCATCCAATCAGAGTGCTCTGACAGGTAAATGAAGAGACTGACAGGTTTGAAATCCAACAATCAGAGTGTTCTGTGTCATTTTACACAGCATGGGTTTTCCCACGCTGTGTAATTTGACTCATAACTCTCTGATTGGTGGATTAAGTAACCAATCAGAGAGTTATGAGATGATTTTAGAATGGGGGATACAAAGCAGCCCTGGAAAAAAAATCTATGCCAGCCCCGCAGCACGGCGTAGGGAAAAAAAAGGTGAGTGTGGCGGCCAGGGAGGAGGACATTAGGTCCCCCCCATTATTCTTGTTTAGGGCCCCCACCCACCAATTCAGGTCTTTCAGCCTTTTAGTAGATAGCTCTCTAATACCGTGGGAATTAGGGAGTTATCTACTTATTCATTCCTGTCATTACATTGACTGGCTAAGTAACTTACATTTTATATGAATGTATGTTACTTGATTGTTGTAAGTGTTGCAAATGCTTACAGCTGAATCCTGGCTATGTTTGTATACTTTTTATTTGAAATTGTATACAATGTAACATTCTTCTTCTTTCACTGGGTAAGTATATTAGTACTGTGCTTCGGAACTTCGGAACATCAGCACTTTGACACCTCTGTAAATTGACACCTGACAATTCTGTAATTTCGGCACTTTGGGACTTCGGCAATTCGGCACTTCAGCAATTCAGCTATTCGGACATTCGGAAGCACCGGAATGTCCGAATTACCCGAAATTCGGCTGAATTTAATTCGGACTGAAACGAATTGCACATTTCTACTGTCAAGGTGTGTGTGTGTGTCTGTCATGGTATGAGTGTGTTTAAAAATAGTGTTTTTACTCACCTTTTTTTTCCCTACGCCGTGCTGCGGGGCTGGCATAGATTTTTTTTCCAGGGCTGCTTTGTATCCCCCGTCCGGCCCTGGCTCTAGCTATGAATTCTTTAGCCGAGGGATTAAAGTTACCGAGCGAAGTAGCAAGAATTATGGCCTCTCGGAGAAAAGTACGAGATTAAAAAAGAGAGGCTGTGACTGGTGAGACCCTATTTAAATTCAGAGAGGGCGGAGCAAGGCTTTAGCTATGAGTTGGCCAATGGGCAAACACCTCCAGGATGGGAGTTGGCCATGCAGGACTGAATTACAATTATGCTAGAATATGGTCCGCACCTATTCCCATTACAGTCAGTTGATCTAACCCTAAGAAATGTAGGGGAGTAGAAACTTAATGAATTGATAGAAAGTATGTAGGAACATATGTACCATGGCCTACTAGTGTGTGTTTGAGCTTGAGAAAGGAATATCGAATAGCGGAACCTAAAGACACAATGGGAACGCGAATAGGAATATATCTCGGATGTTGTAAATGCCATTTGAGATATGAGTAACGTATATATATATATATATATATATATATATATATATATATGTGTGTGTGTGTGTGTCTGTTGTAAATATCAAAGACCTATCATATATTCTGATCCTGATGAAAGTCCCAAGCAAGGACTGAAATGTTGACCTTTTCATTCTACATGTGAAATAAAACTGGAACTCCTTAGAAATGAGAGCAGACACTTTTTTGAATTTATACACA